GAAGGCAACAACGGCCTCATTTACCTCTACGCTTGGGCTCACGAACCTCTCTCCTGGGCAAGCAGGAGAGTAAGCGAAAATTTAATTCCACCCTCCTTCATTACAGTCTCTCACTGTACGGTCCAGACACTTGGGCCGTGTAGAAGAGATGGGTAGCTCCAGAGGAGCCATAAGATACCAACATTCCACTTCTACCAGCAAATAATGTAGGGGTGTGGATGCGTATTTTGAAAAATTTAGTTCAGTTGTATGTACCTCTCATAGACAAGGAGACCTGAAACTATGTAAAAAACTCCTCAACCCACCTCAAGACATGGTGTTCGCACAGGTAAGCGAGTTAGAAATACATGGAGTGTGACCATCAGCTTAGAGGCCCTTTCTCTCCCCTGGGGAATTTATCCATTGGCATGAGATCGGCTCCTCAGTTATTGGTGAGGCCAGTGGAATGACCTAAACCTGAAACAAACCTCCTGGAAGAAGAATAGACCATCCCTCCAACTAATGAAATCCAGCCCAAAGGACTTCATCCTGGGGCAGGGGGAGAAGTAACACACGACTTGAAGAGAAGAAATCAGGCTTGGTGAAAGGGGAAAGCTGAAAACTTCAGTTAATGAGAAGCTAGATGCAGATGTGAAAAAGGTCCACCCAAACACGCCTTCCTGACCCGTCTAGCAGCAGTCTAGACCAGATGACTTGTCTCTTCTAGACCTGTGATTCCATTTCCCTCCCATTCTCCACCCTTATTCACTTATGACCCATTATTAGCTCTGTACGGCTTCTTTTCCTTCCCAACAGGTCCTACTTTCCTCTCTCATCTGTGCCTGTTCTCTTGATGGACATTTCACTTTGAAGATAGCATGTTTGCTATTAGAAGAACTTTGGAAATGCTCAAGAAAATTAGGAGGAAAGAAGATTATTGCAAACCTCACTTCTCTTGCAATAAAAACTACCATCCTAAGGAAGAGTTAAAAAATAATGAAGTAAATTGCATGACTTCAGCCTTGCTGTAGCACATGATGAGGTAAGGAAGACAGGGTTCAGGGTGCCTTCAGATCTATGAGTTTAATGTCAGATTTTGTTTTGTTTGTTTCATCAATGAGAAATATCAGAATTGACTGTAAAACTCATTTACAGTATATAGAACCCAATTTATTTTTTGTGTGAAGATTAATGTTAGTTTGCTTGTAACTTCAGTACAGCATTGTAGCCAAATGAGTCAGTCTATTTTCTTAGTTAGATCCATTGTTTGTCTAATCTCCCAGGGCAGAGAGAGAGAAATAATTTACTACCAAACCATCTCCACCCTTTAAAAATGGAGAGTTATTTCTAAAACCAAATAATCATTTGTCTTTCAGTCTGAACTGGCTTTTTAAGGCAGTGTCTCCTAATTTAGCTACATGAACCAATGATTCAAAGGCCAAGTATCTCCAGCTTAGATTCAGTGACCTTTATTTATTTAACAAGACAGGTCAAGGATGGGAAAGAAAAAAATATGTATTTTTTTACTTTCTTCATACATGACAATATAGGTTAAATTTGAAATTTGAAGTTTGTCTGCAATGCCCTTAGAACATTGCTCCCTTTCCCGTTTAGCCATTCCTGAAATTTTTATTAAGCACAGTTACCTATTCTTTGTCAGAAATTACTTTTAGGCAAAGTTTTAATATCAGTTATTTAAATCTCAATGTGCATTTAAATTAATGCACACCAAAAACTTAATTCCTGCCGTGATAACTGCATAACAGTTACCTGATTTATTCTCTACTAAAATAACCTCTAAGATTGTACAAAACTAGATGAGGCAAACTTTTTCAGGGATGGTAAGAAGCACAGCTGTGATCCTTAAGAGAAGGGAAACACATGAAGTGTGTTCCATAACTTTTTCATAATTGTCCTGGTTTTTCTGCTGAAGGGCACTTTTTCTGAAGTGCAAGAAAGCGAAATCTAAGCAGAACAACAGATTCAGTTAAGGAAGAAGAGATTAGAGTTTTGCATAGTTGAAGCAGTTGAAGTTAGCAGGGTAGCATATCTGAAAATAAGTAGCTGTGAAAAGGGAAATCCCAAAAGTCCACATGGAAATTCACCATGGGGCCAAGATCTGGACTGAATATAGATATTGCAAGATTCTGCAAGGCTTGGCAGAGATTGCCTGCTTCATGTTATGCAGCGTTGCGAGATTTTGGAGTTCCAGCTTAGCAGGGTGGAGAAACCTCATTATGCCCTTCAGACATTCAACTGAGGTGTCAGAAAGGCCATCCCTCTAAAGCAAGGGTCATGACTGTGTAAAAAGCATGTCATAGGGCAAAAATTCAAAATGTTGTTTCCCCATATCACAAGGTTTAACAAAGAAAAAAACAGACAGGTCTGAGGGAATTTACAAGAATAAAACCAACATTCATTAAAGTAGACAACCTTGTATCATTTATAATCTCAAGCATACAATAAAAATTAATAAGAAAGTGAAAAACCTGAAAAATGTGACCCATACTTGAGAGAAAGCAGTCAAAAGAAACTGACTTTGAGATGACCCAGATGTAGGAACTGTCAGGAAAGAAATTTTAAAGTAGCTCTTATATACTGAACATATAACTATGCTCAGGTATTTATAGGAAAATATGGTCATAGTGAACAAATATATGGAGCATCTTAGTAGGGAAATAGAAGCCATAAGAAACAAAGACAAGGAGAAAATATTAAAGCTGCACAAAAGACACAATAGCTTCATAGGAGACACCATAAGATATGGCTAGCTTTTAAACAGAAACTACTGATATCAGAAGACAGAAGAATAACATCTTTCAAAGGGGGAGAAGGTTGCTACTAAACTAGAATTCTAAAATCATTATAAAGCTCTTTCAAAAACGAAGAAAAAGATGCTTTCAAACAAAAGCTAAGAAAATAAATATTAAGCCAATTCTTTAAGCTGAAGGAAAATTATACCAAATGGTATTATGGAATCACAGGAAGGAGAGAACACTGGGGATGGTAAATTGGAAAGGAAATATAAAATAATATTAACTGTTAAACCAATGGTTGTTATATTTTGTGAGGTTTAAAACCTATGGAAGGAAAATATGTGACATCACTAATACAGAAAGCTGGAGGGCGTCTCTGATTCTGGATAAGGTGGAATAAGTACACTGAACCCTGTCTCTCCCTCTGCATATGGCCGTACAACTTGGAAAGAATGCATGGAAAAGCTGTTTGAGGACTCTGCAAAGTAAACGATAGCAGGTGGTTTGAGGAAGACCAAAAACTTAAGTACCACTAAATGACAATGAATTTCT